TTTAATAACCGATAATGCTATCAGTTATAAACAAAAATGAGTTATTTTATGTTTTCATAACCACAACACGTACGAATAGCTCAATGGATATATTTAATTTCTTTTCTGCATTCTACCCGATATTTCCTGTAGGTTTGCGATAAAAAGTTTTGAATAATAGGGTTGCCAGATTTTTGAAAATTTAAAAGTAGTTAAAGCTCTATACAAAATTTGAGTTTCTTTATCAAAACTAAAAACGTTTGAAGATATTTAAGAATATTTTTGAACGGGGTTGCCACCTTTCTAAAAAAATAGAACAATGATTATAAAAAATTTAAGCTTACCACAATATGGATATGACACGAAATGTGTACGCATAAGTTTTGGACTAACGTGATTTCAAATATGGCTGTTAATTGTGATGAGGAAATTATGTAATTTAAGTGAAACGATGGATATGCATTTTTGCACATTCGATAGTTTACCATGGTAGCGACGACATATCGGACTCATTTAAATTTTTTATATAGGTTCCAACTCTATCCAAAACTATGTAGGGGTTAAAGTTTTATTTTAACCTCTTTTGTTTGAAACTCATAAGTATTTTACTTAACCGCATGCAGCATGATTTAATGAAATGTATTATAGATAAATAGCAACTCTATCCAAAAATATTTGTGAACTAAAGTATGCACTTTCAAAAACCTTTGCTGGGAGCGCATAAACCTTCCATTTGATACCCATGTCAAAGTTTTAATAACCGTTGTTGCATTTTTTAGAAGGGTGGCAACCCCGTACAAAAAAGTTTGTAAATCTCTTCACACAATTTTAGTTTTGATGAAGAAACTTAATTATTTTATTGAGTCTTTAAATAACTTTAAAGTATGTATTTTTGGACCACCCTAACATAATAAACATATACATATGTATATGTACACATTTGACTACGCTGTCATAAATGTACATTGTACAATTATTATCACAAACATTCACTCGCACACGCAAGCACATCGTCATTCATTCATGTGCCACTAAAATGTAGTGACTAAATATTGCAGCTGCAAGGCCATTGTGGCATGCCACATAACAAAGCAAACATGCGCATAAACAAAAGCTTAACAACGAGTCGAACAACAGTTGCAAACGTGATGTGTGCAACAATTATGCCAGTAGCATTAGCAGCGGCAACAGCTGCAATTGCAACAAACACAAAACAACTGTAACGGCAATACAACTGTGCAACAATGGAGGCATTGCTATGAATGTTAATCGCGCAAGTGCCTATGGAGTCGTGCAGTGGCCGTGCACATAATTTCACGCCCATATTCCTGTTCAAAAAGTCATTTTGCTGCTCATTTACACATGCAGAATTATGAATGATAATAGGGGTATTCTCGAAGTCTTGCATAGCACTTGCACGGTTTCCAAAAAGCTGTCTCATAGGAAAACGGGTTTTTATCCGTGCACCTTGTAAGGGCTTTGCAAGGCAGTTATGCTGCCATTAAAGACTGGGTGTGGCAAGGAAAGGGCGACAATGTCTGTATGTTCGTAGGTGGACAGGCCGTCAATTTTTAACATACTGGCTACGCACGAAATATACATATATTTCAGAGACCCAGAATAATAATTATTCCATGGTGGAGTTTTAAAAAAGTCTTCGAAATTTTCGTAAGAATCATAAAAATCTTGTGATAATAAATATGTGCGAGAAAAAATTTTTAAGTCATAGATAACTATTATTTTAAGACTTACATAATACAAGTCTTGTATAATAATCATTAGCGAGATAAATGTTTTTAAGTCTCCAAACACTTTTATTTAGAGACTTATCTTATAAAAGTCTTTTCATAATAATTATAATTGAGATAAATATTTTTAATAGCGTTTTCTTTTCTAGAATATCATATTGCGTGCTCTTTCTTTAAAATGTTGCACTCTGATAATGTTGCCATATAAGAAGGCGACATTTTTTGTTCGAGAAAAGAAAACGCCATAAGTTTTCAAACACTTTTATTTTGAGATTTTTATTATAAAAGTCTTCTCATTATAATTATGAGTGCGAAAAAATTGTTTAAGTCTCCAGGGACGGGGCTTGTTCAGTATCATTTCGGGATTAGTTCGAGGCTAGTTTGAATCAGTTCGGGTCCAGTCTCAAAATAAATAAAAAAAATTTTTTTTGCTTGTTTGACCTGAAAACATTATGCTAGGTATTTGTAATTAAAAAAAAAAATGCTGTTCCATGGTCAGTTAAATTATTTTAGTCTGTTTGGATGACTAGCAAAATCATAAAAATTTTCGTACACTACTTTGAAGGAAATACAAAAAGTATCATTTCATTGTTTTAAATTTATTTTAATAAATGGCAGGGCTTTTCAAATTAGCTTGCCGACCGCATTGTATTTCTTAAATCCAACATTGGAATAGTTACCAGTTTTTCGTATAGGTGGCAACATTACTAAAAATTAATTGTACAGTAATTGGCTCAATTTTGTTGACGGTAACGGTGCGAAAATGTGTTCGGATAAAGCTCATGCCAGTGCTACTTGTGCGCTGCCAATATTATTATATTACGATTAATTTTAAAAAATTAAATAAGTTTTACCTTTTATGTAGGTGGCAACACTCTTTAAATTGATACATATTCAAACTATACATATACCTATAGTATAATATTTAATTAAAATAATAAAGTTGATTTAGTTTAATTTGTTAAATAAGTGGCAACCCTAGCAAACATGTTATTGCAGTTAGGCATTCATAAACATATCTTTACACTGGTGATATTACTGCTAGATTTTTTTCATAAATTATTATTTTTTTATCAGAGAGTAGAGAGCTTAGACTCTCTAGTATCACATTTTGATATAAATTTATAACAGAAACTAGTTAAGAAAAATGAGCTAGGGCTACAAAAGTTCTAAGCTCGGCGCACATCAATACTTTCAGCTATGAAATAATGTAATATCATATTTTTCACGTTATTGGCAAACTTGCCAAAATAGAAGGCCTTAACAGCTTATAATACTTTAAACTAAGAAACAATAATTTTTTACCTAAATCTATATATTTCATAAAATGTTTAATACCACAAATTGGATATGATTCTTATAGTCGGGGTAAATATGCGTGAATTATTTAAAATCAAGTTTTTTCTTAAAATTATTGCTCAATTATTTAGGGAATATTATTTTATATCCACTAGTTTTAATACTAAAAATAGTTTCACACTTAAAAAAAGTTTAACTCTAAATGCAGTTTGACTATAAAATAAATTGCTTTGCAATACTCAGAAATCAATATCCCAGCCGCTCGTTTCATCCGGTGGATCAAAATCGTTCTCCACACCGACTGGACCAAAGTACTGCAAGTCGGTGTTACTTGATATTGGCCGCTTTATTGGTGAAGGCAATTGCTTGTATTTCAACTTATTCCAATCGAGATTATCAAACCAGCTAAAAAGTAACAGTTTTTTTTACAAAAAATTTCCATTCATTTCCGATATATGTATGTCACGCCACTTACCCATGTCGCTTAATATCTAAAATGCCACGCCGCTGATAGCCCAGACGCTCTGCTGGCAATTGCTTGCATAAATGTTTAATCAAACCCTGTGCCGAGCGTGGTATTTTCGATGGCATTTGTATGACATCGATGCCACCCAATATCTGTTGGTATATTTTGATTTGATTTTGCCCACGGAATGGTGTTTTGCCAACCAATAATTCGAAAATCAATATACCCAAAGCCCAGTAGTCGACCGCGCGATCGTGACCGCGATCTAGAATGATCTCAGGCGCCACATATTCGGGTGTGCCTGCAAAAGTGTTGGTCTTTTGATTGGGCGGTATGTGCTTGGCGAAGCCAAAATCGACCTGTAGGAAAGATGATAAAATATAAACAAGTATGAAGAATTTCACGAAAGAAATCATTCAAGAACTCACCAGTTTACAGTAACCGTCCGTTGTTAGCATTAAATTCTCTGGTTTCAAATCTCTATAAATAATATTATGCGAGTGTAGAAAGTCGAAAGCTTCCACCACACAACCAGCTATGAATTTGGCAGTGCGTTCATCGAAGTAGCGTCGCTTCGACATAACAGTCCAAACATCGCCACCCATGCAAGCTTCCATCAGGAAGTAAACGAATTTCTCATTGCGGAAAGTTTTATACAATCTAAAAACCGTTTAAGTGAAAGCTCAAAAGTTCGATACAAACAAAATCGCTACCTCACTTACTCAATAATAAACGGCGAGCTGCGACACTTCATCATTACATGCTTCTCGCTGTACACATGCTCCACTTGATCCTGTTTGATAACATCAATCTTCTTAATGATTTTGAGCGCGAACGTTTTTTCTTCGTAAGAAACCAAATCCACACAGCCGAAAGCTCCCGCACCCAATGTTGCTATCTTCTTCAAATCCGTCAGCTGTATATGTGCGTATTCGTTATCAAATTCGGATTGCTGTCTGCTTTGCTTGCGTTCGGCGGACTTACGCTCCTCGGGTTTCTCACGCAGTTGCGGTATGGTGCCCAGGTAGCTGATGAAAGCTCTGTGGAGATAGCAGCGAAAACAAAGTCACACTTAATCGAAAGCTCATATAACTAGCTCGTGAAAGCTCACTCACTCTCTGTCCAGTTTGAGCACTTCAGTACCGGGCGCATCCGCATAAACACTCGCTTGCCGGCGGTCCGCATTGAGTAGCGCCTGCTCACCGAAATAGTCACCACGTTTGCGCCGATCCACCACACGCTCAATATTCTGCTCATTCTTCTTCTTGATGGTCACAGTGCCACCGCGAATTATGAAAAATTCATTGCCCACTTCTCCCTCCCGCACGATGCACGCATTCGGTTCGTAATATTTCTAAATTGAAGTAGTAAATAAATAAGAGAAATTATTCAAGGGGAATTTGCATTCAATTCGCTTTGCGCTTACCCGCTGCAGCAGATCCACCACCTTGTTGAGAACCTCATCAGATAGATCTTTAAGGAATGGCGCCGCACGCAGAAAAAATAAATTCTCATCTCTTTCCTTCGACTCGGACAGTACCATAATTTGTCGAAATGTCTCACGTGTGATTTTCCAAACACGCGCATTTGTCGTTGCTGCATTGAGAAATTATGTCAGCTTCATTAGAAATTCCATCGCATACTTTCCATTTCCACGAAGTTTTTGTTAACTCACCTCTCACTGATGCCAAACGATTGGCATTGTAAAGTATTGCCAATTCACCGAATACTGTTGTCGGTCCAAAGCTGCCCACCACCTTGCCACCCTTGATCACATCGAAATAGCCGGTTTCGGAGACGTAAATTTCCGAACCCTCATCATTTTCATGTATGATGAAAGAGTCCTTTTCGTAGAATGTCGGCGCCATCGCATCGATGACCATCTCCTTGCGCTCTTTGTCCATGTAATTGTTAAGGAAGTCATTGCGTTCGATGGCCTTGCGTATGAGATTGCGTGTTCTGCATGCCAAGCGACGGATAAGCCAGTGTGTAAATATGAAAAAGACGAAAGAGAAGCGAATATGTGCGTTAGCGAATTGTGTCAGCATGCGTGTATGTGTGGCAATAAATTTACAGATATTTCGCTTACTCATTATCCTTTCCAATGAACTCGATGTGCACATCCTTCTTGGCGGGTAAATTTGGACGCGTGAATATGAGTCCTCCCTCAACGCGTTGCGCTTGAGGTCCGTTGCCGCTGTTATTACTTTCTTTTAACAAGGAGGTTTGGTCCTTTTTTGTGTGAAGATAGTAAATATATTTTGTGTTGATAAAATAAATGTGAGTGTTGAAAATTAAGATAACAATAGGGACAATTGAGCAATAAATTGGAGATCATTACTTGGAAGTGAGCTGTTACAGAAGTTAGCATTGTTAAAGACTAAAATTTAATGCAATAAAAAACTCTGAAGTCTCAATCAATCAGGGATGGCTTTTACGAGTATGGAAAGTTAGTGTAGAAAATAAGTGTTGTAATTTCTGAATAAGTTACCTCGAATAATACACCTGAATCACGACACAGCTCACTATCGATGGATACAGTTGAGCTATTGCTAAGGTTTAGCATCTCACTAAGGGTATAGAACTGGCCTTCAATGCTAAACTGGAGATAAGTAAAGATAAAATTTTGTATGCACGTGAAAGCATTAAATGTTTTATATCTGAAGATGTTATGTTATACTATTTTAAGTTATCTTATGTTATGTTATTTTATATTACGTTATGTTATGTAATATCTTATATTGTGCTATGTTATGTTACGTTATGTTATGTTGTGTTATGTTACGTTATGTTATGTTGTGTTATGTTACGTTATGTTATGTCATGCTATGTTAATTTAAGTTATGTTGCGTTATATTATGTTATGTAAAGTTATTTATTTATGTTCTCACAGCGTAATTGACTTGCACATTAGCAAACGTAGACACTCTTTTGCAAACACAAAATTAAGAAAAGATATGGACATTTTATAAATCTGAACATAATTAGTAATGCTTTTGAATAGAAATGAATCAATAGCGTTAAGTGGAAAGTGTTGTGCGTAGATCAAGATGCTTAAATCATAGCATTTTAGATCGAGGCTATGACTCGTACTTTCTAGAAATCGCATTCAAAATCTATTAAGTAAATTTAGCAATGAGCTGCGAAGAGTTATTTAAACTCCTCCCTATATCACGTTTTCATGTCACGACGGCGGTAGCGATAATCAGCATCGCCGACACGGGTCCGAATGCTGTGGATCCTCAACTCTTCCTTTAAACACTTCAAGGCATCTGTTCGGAGCAATAATACTCGTCGTCATGGAGGGTTGTTTGAGTGGAAATGTCAGGTTCTCCTCGTTTGTTGCCAAATTTCTTGACACCTGAGTGACCCGGACCTTAGAAGCAACTTCTGGACATTTGTCTCTAAATGAATATATCACTCATGTCGCATTGGTGCCTGGCCATAGAGATGTACTGGGAACTGGCAAGAAAAAACACCTTTCACCAGTACTGCTCGAAATGCGGGTATTCCGCAATCTTCTTGCAAACTCTGGCTGGATAATAATTTTATCGAACGGGCAATGCAATATGGTCTGCGTAAGCCACGTGCACATTTGGCCTAGGTTGGATAAGCGTGGATCTAGCCTCTACTCTACGACCAATGTCCGGCACTTAATTGGAGTTCTCACCGGGCATCGCCTGATAGCAACCCACGCTAGTAGGACGGGCAAGCAGTCAAACGACTACTGTTGTAGTTNGGATAGTAAGGCACATTTGGCCTAGGTTGGATAAGCGTGGATCTAGCCTCTACTCTACGACCAATGTCCGGCACTTAATTGGAGTTCTCACCGGGCATTGCCTGATAGTAACCCACGCTAGTAGGACGGGCAAGCAGTCAAACGACTACTGTTGTAGTTGCCGTGATGGAGAAGAAATCGAAAGCGTAGAGCATTATTTGTGCCACTGTCCTGCAGTGGCGAGGGCTCATCGGCGCTCGTTTCTCCACAATTTCTTTGAATGTTTGGCTGAACTGGATTCAGCTTCATTAGGGCTACAAATTGGTTTAACTTCTAAGGTTTGAGAAGGGACGTAAGGAGTCTCTAATACGGCATGGTGATAGGTCTACAGTGGCTTTTGTATGCCCATCTCCTGTAACCTAACCCATCCTAGCATCCATCCTTCCGGGAGTAAGCAGGGAACCCCACTAGGGAGAGTCAACTCGCCAAGTCTTGGCGACCGTACGAGTAAACTTTCCCTGACACACAATTTCCCTAGGAAAAATCAGGCAAATTGTATTCCAAATCCCGAGTTGGATGTGTGGTTAGACAGAGGTGTGGTCTGTAAAGAGCTATCTACCAACCTCTTCCTCTTATCCAAGCTATGCAATTACTCTGGAGCTGATCAAACAGACGTAGCAGTCTTTGGGCGCACCTTTGGTGTTTAGTCAGCCCCGTGAACGCTGGACAGAAACCTTGCAATGCTCTTTTTGTCCACGAGTAGACTGGATGAGCTCATACAAACTTTTAAGCCTTAACATGGCGCAATAATCGATACAGCTGATAATCCTAACCGCATATATTTCGCTAGGGATACATACTATTTATTAGACTTAATATTATCTCAGTCCCTACTGCAGCAGTTGTATGGGAAATGATGAGGAATCATCTTATCGACTCCCTTCAGTTAGTCTGCTCCCATGAGTCTAACATTTTTAATAATATCCGGTTCTCCTTTATATGCACTCTAGAACATTTGCCTTTTGCGGTGACTCACCCAAAGTACATACTTACTTCTGCCCTACTGCTGATTCTTCTCCTTATATAAATTGTGTCAAAAAACCGACGAGGCAGCCATTCCGTCCTATCATTACCTAACTTAGGCCTAGGTAACCACTCCATAATTATAGATATGTAGTTAATGTGTTAATCACACTTTTGTCAAAACTTTTATTTCTTTCTTTACTTTGATGCATGCAAAACTGAANCTCAGTTAATCTGCTCCCATGAGTCTAACATTTTTAATAATATCCGGTTCCCCTTTATATGCACTCTAGAACATTTGCCTTTTGCGGGGACTCACCCAAAGTACATAATTACTTCTGCCCTACTGCTGATTCTTCTCCTTATAACATTTGCCTTTTGCGGTGACTCACCCAAAGTACATAATTACTTCTGTCCTACTGCTGATTCTTCTCCTTATATAAATCGTGTCAAAAAACCGACGAGGTAGCCATTCCGTCCTATCCTTACCTAACTTAGGCCTAGGTAACCACTCCATAATTATAGATATGTAGTTAATGTGTTAATCACATCTTTGTCAAAACTTTTATTTCTTTCTTTACTTTGATGCATGCAAAACTGAAATCGTGAAAGAACTTACGATTTGCTTTAAAATTTCTAGTTTAAGCCACCCAAACTCTAATTCGCAAGGCTTTCATATGCATGAAACCACTTTCGCACGCATGAAAGCACAAAAGCTTTCTTCACAAGCGCCACAAAGCCCATTGTCAACAATACTCGTACCTAGCCAGCTATAATAGCTACTTTTCGAAACTCATTTGTGGCAATCTATGAATGTTGATTTTGACTGTTAGCTCAAATGCTTTGTTGGCAAGCGGGACTGCTTCATGAGCTGCATTGGCAATGACGACCAAGACTTGGTGGCTTGGAAATTTCAAAACTGCCTCAAATTGTTGAACATATTTACCCACTACCAGCGGCATGTCAATTAAACTCGCTAAATGCCATCCGAAAAAACGCTGAAATATATGAAGTGCATACACTAAACTGCAAACAGTCGCCATTTTCGCCCTCCCCTCCCCCTCCCAACTAGTTGCTCATAGTTGTCCACTTTACAAATATTTTGCGCTTACTTTGTCATTTGTTGCGCCATTCGCGTTAGCTGCTACCTGGCCACTGCCATTCGTCGTCATATCGTAGCTCGGCGGAGTGACAAACTCAGCGTTGGCGCTAATGCCACCCTCCTCGATTTGTGGCGTTGCTGTGGTGTTGGCGGCGACCGCAGAGTTGCGTTTGCTTTTGTTGCTACGCAACGAAAGCAGCGAAGCGGACGATGAGGCAGCGGTGAGTGACTGCGGCGGCAATGGTGGTGGCGTTGGTATATGAACATCATCATCCGCAGGTGGTTCGTTACCGGCGCCGCAGCGCATTTTTCGACAACTTTTCGATCTCGATTTGCGATTAAACTGTGGGCCGTAGAGTATCGGTGAGGAGCTAAGGCTCGTCGTGTGGTTGTAGTTGCGAAGTGGGGTTGCTTCATTGGCGGCTTGTGGGGTGAGTAGTGAAGCGGTGGTAGGGCTGTAGCTATTTTCTGCAACATCGCCATTTTCCAACTGCCTTCTTTGTTGCTGTTGTTTTTGCGGTTGTGTTTGCGCTGTTACCTCTTTTATGCTGCGACAGCTGCCCGCATTCAAGGAACGCGCGGATGCGTTGTCCTCTTCGTGCGACTGCTGGCCAATAAAGAATTGCACAGCCAGCGTGGAGGCCGGTGTGGTGGGTGTATCCAGGTCACTGGAGTTGCTTTTATAGCCATTAAGTTGGTTATCGTTGACATGACGAGCTTCCTCGTTCAACTTTGGCGCTGCTGCCTCAATATCCTCCTCATAATTTCCCCGTTCTTCCTCTTCTCCTTCTTTCAAATTTGGTGCATCGCTTGGCAACGCAGTCGGCCGTCGTCCTTTGACAGGTTTTAGTTTTGTGTTGCTACCTACAATGGCTGCTGCTGAGTTGCTATAGATGCTGCTGTTGTCATTATTGCTTTTGTTGTTGTTGTTGCCGCTATTGTTGCGCCTGATGTTGTTTGCTTTGTTGAAAATGAATTTTTTCGGGCCCAAACTGTTGACATTGTTGGCCTGCGTGTTTACCAAGCTGCCATTTTCGCTGTTGCTATTTGTGTTGCTGTTGGTGTTGTTGCTAATGCGATTGTTTCGGTTGTCAATGATTTGCTCTTGTGATTTTTGCTGTTTTTGTTGTTGTTGTTGCAGTGTTTTTGTCTGCTGCTATGTCATTTTCGTGCATTTTCAATTCGAGTTTTGTTGAGTTGAGTAGTTGAGTGGTTTTTGTGGGTTGGCGTGTTTGTTGTTGCCGGTGTAGTTGTTGTTTGTGTTTTAGCGGTGTTGTTAGTTAGACGAAGGTAGGTATGTGTACAAAAGCAAACACGCACGCACGGCACATTCAAAGCACATAAAAATCCAGCGCATATACAGATTTGATGAAAAGATAATGCAAGCTTGTTAACATTATTCAGGATACGTAAGAGTAACGGTAATTATCATTATAATAAAAATGATCAATA